AGGTAATGATACCTTGTCTTTGAGCTATTGAATGCGTGGGCTTGAATTTTAGCTACTCTGTCTTAAATACGAGCTCCTTGTGCTCTTGGATTGATTAAATTTACTGAAATTTGGAACCTTAGAAACGCTCCCTTTTGTATTTCATCTACATCTATCTGCTTCTTACGCTGTTACGCTTTCCAAAGGCACCATGGTCTTCCCTCAAAGACTCTATCCACATGCCCTCCTTGTTGCCTCTTGTTGCGTCCTTCTTCTTGCCGATGCTCAAAGAACACACCCTTCAGAAGGTGTGACTTCTTTTCTGTTTTGTTACTGCTTCCAAATTTAATTCTAGTCATCTTGTTTTCTTACGTGATTCTCAACTATCTTTTCCATTCGCAGTCTCTGCTTTACGATCAGTTAAGAGAAGTCTAATTGACCCTAAAGATTATTTGAGAAACTGGAACAGAGGAGACCCTTGCAGATCTAATTGGACTGGAGTTATCTGCTTTAATGAGATTGGTACTGACGACTACCTGCATGTCCGAGAACTGTATGATTCTTTTCATTTTTTTTTCTTATGTGCCTTCTTCCTTTCCTTGTTAGTCTGCTTGTATATATGCTGGAGTTAACAGGCTTAACTTATAGGGTTGTCTTTCTATTTTTCTTTCTTTCTCTTTTCTCGGAACAGTTGCTTACATGACCAGCTATTCCTATAATAGGATTCCTTCCCTGATTCTTCCTTTTGTTGCCAAGCAGCCTGCTGATGAATATGAATCTCTCCGGGAGTTTGTCACCAGAGCTCCGAAAATTAGCTCATCTCGAAATATTGTAAGTTTCAAGATGTAAAGCTTTGCAAAGTGTTTATTTTGGAACGCCCTATATTATGGTTACTCCAGTTTCTACTGACTCTGAAATTTTTCTTTCATGTGGCATCTATGAAGAGATTTCATGTGGAATAATATAAGTGGTTCAATTCCAAACGAGATAGGACAGATATCATCCCTGGTACTCTTGTAAGTTGGACCTACCTGAATACCTGATAAATAATCGTTGCTCTAGATGGAACAATTTTTTTTTATAAGCATGTGTGTTCATTTTCTTTATCTTCTGATTCTGTAACCTGTGGTCAGGCTGCTGAATGGAAACAAACTTTCAGGGCCTTTACCAAGCGAACTCGGGTATCTTTCGAACTTGAACAGGTTCCAGATAGATGAGAATAACATCACAGGAGCAATACCAAAGTCTTTTTCCAACTTGAAAAACGTGAAACATATGTGAGTCTGAACATCAAGCCAGACAGTGATATGATATCATACTTAGATGCAGCTTTTTCAATATCATCTCATAGATTTTTCTCTTGGCCTTGTATAGTCACTTCAACAATAATTCGTTGAGCGGCCAGATTCCAGTTGAGCTTTCCAATCTTACTAACATCTTTCATGTGTGAGTCATTGCCACAATGTTGCCACTGCTTCCATGATTTGTTACATCATGATGGTTAAAGGGGTCAAACTAAATGTGCAGGCTGTTAGACAACAATAATTTATCTGGAAATCTTCCACCACAACTCTCTGCATTGCCGAACCTGCAAATCCTGTATGTTTCTCTATTGTGTGTGTTTACCTCGTTCTACAAGTAATTTGTTTGATTTATGGTTATTGTCCTCAATTGCAGGCAACTGGATAATAACAACTTCAGTGGATCTGATATCCCAGCTTCCTATGGAAACTTTTCGAGTATTCTGAAGCTGTAAGTTTCAGGACACTGTTATCTTAAGTCCTTTTTTCATTTCAAAGATATAGAGAGAACTAATTATGTTCATTCGTCTTTTTGCACTTACAGGAGTCTTAGAAATTGTAGTTTGAAAGGGACACTTCCTGATTTTAGCAAGATACGTCATCTCAAATACTTGTAAGTTCTGATCAATCTTAATGCATGGATTCTCTTTCCAATGTTGTGAATCTGTTTGTGCTTCTTGTTCGCTACAGGGATCTTAGCTTGAATGAGCTCACAGGACCTATACCTTCTTCTAATCTTTCTAAGGATGTGACAACCATGTATGCTTTGTACAGTTGTTAATTCTGTTCATTTATTCTTAACCGGCGACCTTCAATTGTGTTTACACGTATACCTTACTGCTTTGGGTTTTATACTGGTTAATTACAGTAATTTATCAAACAACATACTTAACGGATCCATCCCGCAGAGCTTCTCAGATCTCCCTTTACTTCAGATGCTGTGAGTTATTAAGTTTATGTTTCTTTATATCCAAAATGAATAAGCTAGTGAGTAACAATGTTGACTGGCAAATAAAAATATCATCTTCTGCAGATTGCTGAAAAACAATATGTTATCTGGATCTGTCCCTGATTCCCTTTGGAAGAATATCTCTTTTCCGAAGAAAGCTAGACTTCTACTGTAAAATCTTTGTTTCCCTACTTCACTTACATTCACTTGCACTTCATCGACTTCTCTAATTTTCCTCTTTTCTCTCGTTGCTACAGTGATCTTAGGAATAATTCTCTGTCACATGTTCAAGGAGATCTAACTCCTCCACAAAATGTCACTTTAAGGTGCTCCGTAGTCGTATCTGTACCTTGGCTAGCTTTTTAATGTTTCTGTCTTGAATTCTTATTACAGAAAGTTTAATTATTCTCCAGGCTTGATGGTAATCCGATCTGCACTAACGGAAGCATATCAAACGCAAACCTATTCTGTGAGTCCAAAGGAAAAGAGTGGCCATCACTACCATTCAACTCAACTAATTCTGCACTGGACTGTCCTCCTCTAGCCTGTCCCACTCCTGACTTCTACGAATACAGTCCAGCATCCCCATTACGATGCTTTTGTGCAGCGCCTCTCAGAATTGGATATCGTCTCAAAAGTCCTAGTTTCTCATACTTCCCTCCATATATTGATCAATTTGGCGAGTATGTTGCCGATTTCCTTCAAATGGAACCATATCAATTCTGGATCGACTCATATCAGTGGGAGAAAGGGCCTCGTCTGAGGATGTATTTGAAACTTTTTCCGAAAGTTAATGAAACCTATACAAGAACATTTAACAAGAGTGAAGTTCTCAGAATCCGAGGCATATTCGCTTCATGGAGGTTTCCTGGTAGTGACTTATTCGGTCCGTATGAACTGCTAAACTTCACTCTGCAGGGGCCTTATTCATATGGTGCGCCTCTTTAACCTAATAAGTGTTTTTTACACAAGTAGATCTAGACTGACTGATAAGTGAAACTCTTCTTTATCTCCTCAGTTAACTTCAACAGTGAAAGGAAAGGCGTAGGCTGGGGACGATTAGCAGCAATAACTGCAGGGGCTGTGGTGACTGCTGTTGGGATATCCGCTGTGGTTGCAGCCTTGTTACTTAGAAGATACAGCAAGCAAGAGCGAGAGATATCTAGAAGACGGTCTTGTAAGTGTAACCAAATCTTCTATTCCCAATCTTTCCCACTGAGATTTAGAACCAACTTTAACTGAATCTGGTCGTAATTGTCAGCCTCCAAGGCTTCCTTGATGAATTCTGGGATAAGAGGCTTTAGTTTCAAAGAACTAGCGGAGGCCACCGACGATTTTAGCAGCTCAACTTTGGTTGGACGCGGAGGCTATGGAAAGGTATACAGAGGTGTGTTATCTGACAAAACTGTTGCTGCAATAAAGCGAGCAGATGAAGGGTCTTTGCAAGGTGAAAAGGAGTTCTTGAATGAAATAGAGTTGCTCTCGAGGTTGCATCACCGGAATCTAGTGTCACTGATTGGTTATTGTGACGAAGAAGGCGAGCAGGTACTCTCTTGGTACTCGGTAGAGCCGCCATAGTAAGGTGCTATCAGTTAGATAGCTTTAATAATTGCTTATGAAGTTGCTGAATGTGCAGATGCTGGTGTACGAATTTATGTCAAATGGCACCCTGCGCGACTGGTTGTCTGGTAGAAATTCACTGTGATTCATAGGGCGCTTTTGGATGTGTGTCATTTAGTTTTCTCAATTGATGGAATATTTGGTGGTGCAGCTAAGGGGAAGGAGTCATTGAGCTTTGTGATGAGGATTCGTGTTGCGTTGGGAGCAGCCAAAGGTATTCTCTACCTTCACACAGAAGCCAACCCGCCAGTTTTCCATCGAGACATCAAAGCAAGTAACATCCTCCTTGACCCCAACTTCAATGCCAAAGTTGCAGACTTTGGACTGTCTCGACTTGCTCCTGTTTTGGAGGACGAAGAGGATGTGCCTAAGTACGTCTCAACGGTTGTCCGTGGGACTCCAGTGAGTCATCAAAATGAATGATTTGAAGCATATATTGGCACAACAGATCCATTGCTTAGTTTTTTGAATGTTGCAGGGGTACCTGGATCCTGAATATTTCCTGACACACAAGCTGACGGACAAGAGCGATGTTTACAGCATCGGAGTTGTGTTCTTGGAGCTGCTGACTGGTATGCACGCCATATCCCATGGAAAAAATATAGTGCGAGAAGTGAAGACGGCGGATCAGAGGGATATGATGGTGTCGCTGATAGACAAGAGAATGGAGCCGTGGTCGATGGAAAGTGTTGAAAAGTTTGCGGCTTTGGCACTGAGATGTAGCCACGACTCACCGGAGATGAGACCAGGAATGGCGGAGGTGGTGAAGGAGCTGGAAGCACTGCTCCAAGCAGCCCCCGATAAGGAGGCAAGAGTGGAAATGGCGTCGTCTTCGTCAGTGCTCTCAACATCGTCGTCGAATGTGACAAGAGACCTTTACGAGTCGTCGAGCCTTTTAGGAAGCGATCTCAGCAGCGGTTTTGTTCCCAGCATCGCTCCTCGCTGACTTCAACCATCTCTGTATAAATCTCTACCCATACCCAAAAAACGTTCTCTCTTTTTTGACTCAACGTTTCTTACTTTTTAACCAATTCAACGCTGTAATATATTCTTTTCATCAATACCAAGATACCAACTTTGGACCACAAAAAAAAATATCGTTACACCAAAATCAATGTCTGAAGGCCCAATTCGGGCCCAATAACAAACCCTGGTTTCATTTTTGATCTTCCTCCGATCATCGCTGAAACCGCGACGATGGATTTACAGCAAAAGCAGGCTTGTTGGAAAGTTGAACTCGAGGTTTTAGATAACGATTCTTCATGGGTATGCTTCTCCACCACTTAATCTCACCGTATCTCCGGGCTCCGATTTGCTATAGCTTATGCTGATGTAGGTCAGTAAATTTGATCCTTCCAAGAAGAAGAAGAAGAAGAGGAAGCCTCTGATACGCGAAGACGACATCTTCTTCCAGAAAGGAGGAGACTTTACCGGTAATTAATTAGCTTTCTAAAGAGTTGCGTTGGAAGATAATCAGTTAATCGTACCCAAACCCAACTCTAAATTGTGCCTGAAACTACTGTCCTATAATTGATGTTGTCATAACAGAGGATAACGCTCCACACTGTCAATCTGGCCGGAACTTTGAGCCAGACTATGGCTACAAAGAGGTACTTTTAGCTGTGATTAGAGGCCTTCAGTTATGCTATTTTGGTATATTGATTTTCTCTTCACTTGGCTGCTACTTGTTCTCAATTATGATCCGAGCTTTTCTACGCTTTGTAGCTCTTGAGTATGGTGTTTAATAGGCTTCGTGACGAAGATCTCGAGGTTTCAACAGAGATGCCAAGAACAGTGATGATGCCTCCTCGGCTCCTTGCACAAGGGACTATAACACTTTGTTTAAACTTTTCTGATCTCTGCACAACGTACGACTTGTAACTCATCTTCCCGTTAACTTCTAGTTGTTGAGCGATATATCACTTTTAAATACACATTGTTCAGGATGCATAGGAAGCCAGATCATGTCATGAAATTCTTACTTGCCCAAATGGAGACAAAAGGATCGCTGAATAAACAACAGCGGCTAGAGATGAAGGGTTTAGTGTCTTCTAAGGTTTTTCAAGCTGTGTTCCGGAAATACATTGGTAAATTCCGTAACTAGTCTCGGGTGTTGATATTTTTTTTTTGTAGTGGTGGGAGTCTTGTCTGATATGTAATCATTGTGTCTTAGATGCGTTCGTAATCTGCATCTGCTGCAAAAGTCCTGACACATCTCTTGCGGAGGAGGACAATGGTCTTTTTAATCTCAGATGTGAGATGGTAAGTAGAATAATCTCTGCAACCATCTGATTGCTGCGTTCAGGTCAGGGGAAAGATGAGGAAATATGAAAGTATAAAATGACACTGATAAATTGGTCTCATTTGGGTCTGTTCTTGTGCAGTGTGGTTTAGTAGCGTCAATTGACGTACCAAATCTCCTGTGAATAAACTCATGAAGATATGGAACTTCAAGAGCCACGTGCTGGGCAAGGTTCCATTGTAAGATTTTTTAGTGATTTCTTCTGACTTTGTTAGTCAGTTGTACAATCTTGAACCAGAAGATGCTTTCTCTACTATACTAATTAACTTTTCGCGTCCTGAGAGATGTAGGACTGAACTAAAACTCTCGAAAACATTTGTGAGATGTTTTTTTTAGTGTATGTCTAATGGAACTTCTTTAGTGATCAGTTGCTGAGACAAAACGCAAAGGATGCCAATTTGCTAAGAGTAAAGAGTAACGTGTCTTTTATATGCAAGTAATGCAAAAACATGAGTTGCCTATTTCTATTTTCGGCAACTGAGTTGTCACGGTAAAGAGGGTTTGTTTTGGATCACATTGTACATTTTCGTGCTCAAATAGAAAATCCGGAAAGAAAAAATAGATTACTGAGTCGCCTTCTTTGTGAAATGACTTTAAAGATGGGTTGGTCCGAAGCTTGCACGAGAAAATTTGAATTTGACATGTCAGCTAACTCTAGTGGGTTGGCTTCGAATCTTTGCTTAGCAGTGAAACGTTACTTTGGATTTCAGTCCTCCGATTGATATCTCTCCAACATGTGCTTCAAGTTTATCTCTTTGCTTTTGGGCTGAAACCTAGGAACGTTTTCCTTGCCTTGTAAGTTAATGTTTTCGATTAAAAAAATCAAGTCCATGTTTTATTGGCTCTGTGGGTATGAGTATGAATATATACCTAAACATGCAACCAAACGAAAGTGAATCTGTTCTCATCCATAACCTGCGAAAAATGAAGGACCAACTTGGATTCAGAATCGTGCTCTGTTCTGCGATTTTCATAATTCTGACACAAAACAGAGCTCTCGCAGACTTGGACAGCGAGTCCCACGGGTACTAACATTACGATCATTCAAAAACTTGGTCTCGGAATCATTTACTTCTAGGGAAGAATGACAGATTGAAGCTGATTTTGCAGGGTTAACTCAGAATCAGTAGGAGAAGAAGAATGGGAGATGGTGCAGAGGAAAGGGATGCAATTCACCCTAAATGGACAACCATTCTATGTGAATGGCTTCAACACGTACTGGATGATGACTCTTGCAGCTGACAATTCCACGAGAGGCAAAGTGACGGAAGTGTTCCAACAAGCCTCTGCGGTTGGAATGACAGTAGGCAGGACATGGGCTTTCAACGACGGCCAATGGAGAGCTCTCCAGAAATCTCCCTCTGTTTACGATGAAGAGGTCTTCAAGGTATATCTCTACGCCTAAAGCTTCTTCCTTCAAGACTCTTTTCTATTTAAAGGGTTGAGCAATTGGGCAGGCCCTCGACTTCGTGGTGAGCGAGGCCAGAAAGTACAAGATCAGGCTTATACTGTCATTGGTCAACAACTGGGACGCCTATGGCGGCAAAGCTCAGTACGTTAAATGGGGCAACGCCTCCGGCCTTAATCTCACCTCCGACGACGACTTCTTCACCAACCCCACCCTCAGAAACTTCTACCAATCCCATGTCCGGGTGATTATTCCATCCATCTCAGCAAACATTCATTGCTTATTTATCGGAAAAGCACAAGTTTTTACCCATCAGGGAAAAATTGTAACTTCAATGTCGTTGCATTGCAGACAGTGCTGAATAGAGTCAACACCTTCACAAACATAACTTACAAGAAAGACCCCACCATCTTCGCCTGGGAACTCATGAATGAGCCTCGTTGCCCCTCTGATCCCTCCGGTGACAAACTCCAGTCTTGGATACAAGAAATGGCGGTGTTTGTGAAGAGCTTAGACGCTAAACATTTGGTGGAGATCGGACTTGAAGGCTTCTATGGTCCCTCTGCCCCTGTGAGAACCAGATTCAATCCCAACCCCTACGCTGCACAAGTCGGAACTGACTTCATCAGAAATAATCAGGTTCTTGGCATCGATTTTGCTTCGGTTCACGTCTATCCAGATTCCTGGTAAGTTTTTGATGCAAAATACCAAGAAACAGACACTGCCCTGAATCTGAAAACAGAGAACAGCTGAAAAATGCAGTAAATAATTGTTAACTGTAGGATATCTCCGGCAGTATCAAATTCTTTCCTGGAATTCACTAGCTCTTGGATGCAAGCTCATGTGGAGGACGCAGAGATGTACTTGGGAATGCCGGTTCTGTTCACAGAGTTTGGTGTGTCTGCACATGACCCTGGTTTCAACACGTCTTTCCGTGACATGATGTTGAATACGGTGTACAAGATGACCCTCAACTCAACAAGGAAAGGAGGGGCTGGTGCCGGGAGTCTGGTCTGGCAGGTCTTCCCTCAAGGGGCAGAGTTCATGGATGACGGCTATGCGGTTTACCTCACAAGAGCTCACACCGCTTCAAAAATCATATCTCTGCAGTCGAAGCGACTAGCCATCTTCAACTCCTTGTGTAGCTGGAGATGCAGGTGGGGATGCAAGAAAAAGAATCACACTGCTCTTGATGCCCTCCTCACGCACGACGAGCTTTAATGTGAATCACAACTACGTGAATACAAAGATCAGTGTATACAAGTGTTTAATAAAATATTATATATGTGAAGAATGAAGATGATTGTTTAAACATACCTTGGAGGGAGATTCCAGAGCAATATCAATACAAACATACCTCTGCAGCCTCTGAATAAGACCTGATGACGGCTACTTTGATATGCAAAACCGCTCACACAAAACAAAACTCGTTTGATCATGAATCAATAAGCAGAGAATATACCAGAAATATATTTAAGGAACGGAGTTGTGTTATTGTGTACATTTACATCATAAGAATAAAATCAGAGTCACTTGCTGAAAGTGAGCTTTGAAAGAACAGCGGCCGCTTGATCACCACCCAACAAAAAATAAGGGTGTCTGAGAGCAGCAGCTGCTGAAAGGCGTCCACGTCTCAGAGAACCTCTCTCGGATATGAGTTTAGTGACGAGGTCCCACCCTCTGCCCGAGTCCAGATCTAGTATGCTCAAGTCTGGCCTCGTGCGAGTCCTGTCCCGCCATCTATTAAGATCATATTCAACTGACTTGATCTCCAGATTAAAATTCTTCAGAGCGGCAGTAGATCTTAAGGTCGGAACCGCCATTTGCAGGAGCACAATCCCAGCAGAATACATATCAAACAGATCCGGACTGTTCAACTGTAAGAATGAGCACTCCAAATCAGGCAAAGACTCAAGTGAAAGAAGGCAAACATTACATTGGCATACAAGAATATGAAAACCACCTGCCAGAGAATCGGGGAAAGCAAAGCGGCTATAGGCTCGGGAGGAGGACTTGGCGTTTCCTCAGGGAGGACATAGAGCTCAGGAGGACAGTAGTCAGGATCGAGTAAAGTGCGTTCCGGGATGTAATTCTTGCCAATGCGAAGATCAGCAGCAGCACCAAAGTCGATGAGCTTAATCTGTCCCTTCTTTGTAACCACCAAGTTGGCAGGCTTCACGTCCCGGTGAACAATGCCCGTATCATGGATTTTCCTGAGAGATGTAATGATCTGGCGCATGATCTGCTTAATGATCAATGCACGACGTTTCACAGACTCTACTCCTTGGAGAACGCGCCCAAACATGATGGACTCCAGATTGGAAGGAAAGCTCCGATCTTTCATGTAATCAGCGAGATCACGGTCTCCCTGTTGAAGAAAACATTCATCATCATCATCATCATCATCATCATCATCGTCATTTTTGTGTAGATTTGAAGGTAAGAAGAGTACCTCGAACCTCCAGACAAGCCATTTGCCGCCTTTTGTAAACATAGTATTGGTCTTGTCGGCGACAAAGCTTCCGAGAAACTCAGCGCAGGTCTCGGGAGCGGCCCTTGAGAGTCTGTAGTTGAACCACTCTTCGAACTCGCCGAATTCCTCGGCCCCTCGTACTCCCACCTTGACCTGCATTGGTTTGGTTGATATCAAAGACGATGAGTCTTTTCTTGCCTTGTTGACAAACAAAATTGTTTCAGTTTCAGGGTACCTTCTTGAGGATGACTCGCTGCTTGAATTCGCCAGTAAATTCCATAGCTTTAGCTCTTGCTTTGCTAACCCTGGCCTCATCAACAACAGTAGAATTCTTGGGGAGTAAGACGCCGGCATAGACGACGCCGAAAGAGCCTTCGCCGAGTTTCTCTGTGACCAAGAAATCGGACCTCTTCAACCTCCTACCAATCAGAGTATCGAGGCCAAGCTGGAGCGGAGCGAGAAGGTAGGCGTCAATGGCGCCGATGAGAACACCAGGCCTCGCCGTGAGGTAAAACCAGACGAGTCCGGCGGAGAAAAAGAACCCCCATTTCTGGGTATCCGAAAATGTGGCGAGGGAATTCTGAAAGTCATGGAGAGCAGGGAGATGAGAGAGAGACTCAACAGATAAGTCCTGCGGAGAAAAACTGCATCTCATCATATAAGAATAAGCCCGGCGGCTGCTGTTCTGGGGTGAAATGTGAGTGGGAGTGGAGAAACCGGCGGTGGAGCAGGAATGAAAAGCGGCGGAGGTGGCGGTGGCCGTGGCCGTGGCGGGAGAGAGAAGAGAGGCCATCTTATCTTGTCTTCTTTTTTGGTTGGTTGGTTCATTTTAATTTATGTCCAAATGTCGTCGTCATATGAGTGACACCTTCGTTTCGAAAGACTCAGGTGGCCCAACAACATAGCCCAATTATGGAGGTCCATCGAAATGTAATGAGGGATTTTTTTGTAACTTAAGAAATGTTGTTAGTAAAAACAAAATAAACATACTAGTCCCTGAGATGAGAATTAACTACTTTCTTTTTCGTTCATCAACTACTTTCTAACTATAAAATAGATGCGGTTTATCTAAGAACCAATAATGAAATTCACAATTAAGAAAAAAATGAAAATATAGAAAGGAGAGGCCATTTCAGCAATTTTTTCACACAGAAAGAGAAGCAGCAGGCAGCAATACGACAAAAAGAAAGGAAAAAAAAAGTAGCCGTTAAGCGCCGAACCCAATTCAAATTCAAAACCAAAAAAGAAAAGAAAAAAATCCATTAGATTAGTTGCTCTCTGCCTGCTTGCTTCTCTCTCTCATCTTAATCCAAGCAACAAAAAAAAATGAAATGTTCAGGTCGAAAAGCTCTGCAGCCGAAGAACATCTTCCAGACCCCAAAGGAGGATGCTTTCGTGGTGAAGGCCAAAGCTGCTGAGCTGAAGGAGAATCTGATCGATGCTTCTCTTGCGGAGGAGCTTAGTGCCTTTAAGAAGAAACTCGAGAGGCAGAGAGAGGATAGAGAGAGGACTGAGAAGCTGCTAAAGGAGAGAGATGGAGCCATGGATGTGCAGATGAGCCTTCTTCTCCAGAGAGGAGAGACACAGAAAAGCCTTGAAATCCAGGTCGATCGCCTCTTTCGATTGAAGGAGCTCCACGCCTATTCCTCTGTAAGCCTCTTTTTAGTTACGATAATATATATATATCGTCGATCAGCAAGTAGTAATTGCCGTTTGATTTGGCCATCAGAAGATTTCCCCAATCCGATCTCTGAGAGCCAAGGAGCATGAGAGGATGAGACGCTTCAGCTTCGTAATTACTGATTTTAACTCTCTCTCTACTCTCCTTCCTTCTTCATCACTACTTTCTTCCCATTACTTATTTCTCGACCTTCTGGGAATTTCAGGCAGGTGACCCAGAAGAAGAAGAAGAAAGCCCCGTCGAGAGGAAGAATCTCGAGAGCATTGCAAATGGGCCCATGGAACAAGAAGAAAACTCGACGACCAAGAATAATGTCGAGATCATCCTCAATACCCATATCTCTTGATATTGTAATGTCTCGTTACAATTGGGCTTTTTCTCTTGATCCATAGGCCCATTCTTTCTTCCTTTTTTCACTTTGCTCTCTTTTTAGCCACGCGGGACTTTACTTACCAAATTTGAGAAACCATTTCCTTCATTTAATTGTTGTTTGTCGGCAACTAATTTTTTATCCAACTAGCTCTTTATTTAATCGCATACTTCTCTGTATTTTACTTACGTTAGCCCAACCATTTAAAGCCATCTATCTATCAGCTTCCACCTTTTAGTTTTCTAAAACGTAATCATTTAAATTAGAAAATTGCAATATGGAATCAAAAGTATGTCCAGACAATGAAAGCATGGGGTCCGTTAAGAAGACATGATCAAAACAAATACTACTATATAACAAGGCATTAATTGTTTTGAATCGAGTTATGGATCCATCTGTCTCCGACGCTAGTTATAACATAAACTATCAGTCAACTATCATCGCCATCGCCTCTATTAGTGTTTTTATTAATTTTTTACAAATATATGATACATCGATCGTAAAGTAAGATCTAACCCGCAAGTTGAATACAAGAAACGACAAAAACACACCTCATCCACACCATTTATGTATTATTCGAAAACATAAACGTGATTAATTCCAACTTCTCTTGTCCCTTTCTAGCCCATGTCAGCCCAAATTCAAATGGCCAAGACAAATTTATTTTAAATCTATTAAAACCCCGCATACATTATATAGTTAACATCAAATATAAACTGGCAAAATCACCTACAACATTTTTTATCGTGCTTATAGATTTTATGCACTAAACTCAATTGTATTATTTGTTTGATTATATCTACATTTTTTTGGGGTCGGCCGTCGACGGTTGACTGGTAAACTTACTGAATAAGGTATTATTAATTGAAGCGTTGATATTAACTTCATCATCTAAATACTACTATTGCACGTTGACAAAATAAGAAATGGTAATTGTTTACCATTAAAATGTTTTATAGAGATCGGCTTTCATATCATGATAGAAGGTGACAGATGTAATCTTTTCGGGTTGGTTGGAATGTTGGATGCAGCCATGGTAAATCTATTTTGCATGTGCTAAGAAGAAGAGGTCTTTTTGCTCTTATAACTAGTGTATTTAGTAAGGTTTTGGCCTATTACTTCTGTTTTTAGTTAAATGTGCGTCTTCTTTCGTTGTATGTTTGAATTTTTCTGTAAATTATCTTTAGTTTCCTTTCCCTAGGGTTTAGTTTTTGAAGAATTCTTGTTTTTCTCCGGTTGTGAATTTCTTGGACCTATTATTTTGTAGGCCTGGGCGTTCGGCATTAACCGAAAAAACCGAACCGAACAAACCGAGTTTTTCGGTTATCGGCGCCGAACCGAAGAGTAAGACTGAACCGATCGGCAAAAATATTCAGGATTTCGGTTATTAATTCGGTTCGGTTCGGCAAGCCATAACCGAACGGTTCTTCGGTTCTCTTACAACCACCACCTATCGTCGACAATCCGCCATAGATAAGCTGAAGAAACGAGGATGAGTTGGGGGAGCCGCCATGGAATCGCTGGAAAAAGACGGAGTAAAAGGAAAAATAAACAAAACGCTAGGGTTAGTAGCGTTTCAATTATTCTAGGCTATTTTGGGCTTCTTAATGGGAAATATGTTTAATGTTATTTGTGTAAACTATACGGGCTGGCCCAAAATTGTTAAAGCCCATTATCTATCTAATAAAACAAAAAAAACCCTAGCTAATTTGCCATTAGATCAGCCGTTCTCCTTCTTCCTCTCATTGATCTAGACATCTAGTCGTCTAAAAACCAGAAGCCAGAGAAAAAAAATTCACTCCCCCCTATACAAGCACCGATTTATAATCTCTTTTACTCTCCCGAATCTCAATTCCGATTTTTAGGTCAGATATCCCCATGGAAGAGTCTGATTTTGCAGAGAAAGATCCTCGGTTAACCGAATAAACCGAGGAAAAATCAATTTCGGTTTATTTTCGGAACTGATTTTAAACCCAATAACCGAACCGAACAAACCGAGTACCGACCGAACCGAACCGAATTTTTATTCGGTTCAATTCGGCAGAAATTTTAAAAACCGAAAAACCCGAAAAACCGAATAAACCGAACCGAACAAACCGATAAAACCGATTGCCCAGGCCTATTATTTTGTCTTGAGATGACAGAAAAAAAAAAGTTACGTTTAGCGGACGATTGGTGAGAAGATTGGTGAGAAGCTAGGATTACGCAATAAACATTATAACGTGAGAAAGCTTAGCATTATTACACGCGCAATAACGTTAGGGCACGTTTATCTAAGGGTAAGAGTAAGGCAGTCGGAGTCTGACACCGTTAATAGTGCACATGCGTTTTAATGTCCAACTAGTGGATGTGGATGAGACGAGACAATACTGCAGTGTGCTGTGTGCATGCATATTACTGCCATATAAGATACATTACTCAGACTCAGACTATATTTTTGAATAATTATTTGATTAATGCTGCTTTATTTGTAGTCAGCCATTTTAAGGTCCGTATATAATCCCAACATGAAGAGCATCGTGATTTTTTCTTTTTACATCAAGCATCGTGATTTGAGGGCTGGGAACTTGTTAATCAACCCAGCTATTATCTAAACATATATACATAAAAATGGAATGCATAATGGAGGAAGCTTATTCCCTCTTGGATTTGGTGATTGCTTGCAAATTCATTTTCTCTTTATTATAATCTTGTTTTTATTTATTTTTTGCCAAGATTACTCTATATTAACTATTAAGTAGCATCTTTGTATTAGCTCAACATTTTATTTTTCTGATATTTACATTTTTAACAAAAAAAAAAAAAGGGATGCTCAAATAGGGATTCGACTAAATTCAGGGAGGTCCAGTTGATAAACACTACATAATAAAAACAAAAATAATAAAAGTTACATATTTGTGATGGAGGAAAGTCGCAACCTAATTAATAAGGTGAAAGAAACCGAGCCGCCGATATTGAAGCAGAAACAAAGGCTACTTTAATTATGATTTATGTAGCTTAATTAAATGGTTATATATACCCTAATAAAGGAAGAAAAGGGAAAGAGAGAAATAAATAAAAAAGTTGAAGCTGTTGTTACGTACTAGATCTAGACATTTATTTAGTATAAGAAAGAAACATAAGTAGAAATCCAATAAAAGCACATGCGGATTACGCTTATTGTATTACAATACCAGAAAAACTTTTGCAGCAATTGATCTCCATCGTTGGATTGATGAGATTAGATTGGATTAGTGCATTATATTACCTGTCATCCACAATTCAACCATCCATGACGTCACATCGTCACGGTAGGATGATGTCACCAAATCTTACGTCACTTCTGAGGAGCTTCTCTCTCGCCGTTTAGAGTGGCTGGCTCCCTCCTTTTTCTACGCCCGTTTATTCGCCGTTCCATCTTCTCAGGTGCCGTGCCACATGACTATATAAGTTCACTGTCACCGTTGTGAGAGTTTACTCAATTTTATTACAAAACCGACTTTTTATTTAGCTGTTTTTACGCGACGAAATCAATATCAGTATATATATATATATATATATATATATATATATATATATATATATATATGGAATCTTGTTTGATCAATAATATTCTCTAAATTATAATTATGCGTTTTTTTCCCTAATTCTAGGAGTATTTAGTACTTACTTATTTGGAGTTGCAAACCTATAGACTGAAAAGAGATCCAAGTATGAGATGAAATAAGTAGTAGAAATCCAAGAAGTCATGGTTCTTAGATACGAGTTTACACATAATTAATTAACTAACTTTATAATGAGTAGAGTTGTTGGGTAAGACAACTAGTAATACTCCTACTTGTTTGTTTGTTTTTTGTCTTTATAATCTCGAGGGGCCAACTCATTAATCCGCACATTCCTAATACGAATTACATAATAGTACATCCGATAGAGAGGTTAACGAAGGAGTGTATAGTAATTGACCAAACTCTCTCACATACGAAACTTCCTAACAACATCCTTATCTCGTCTTCTCGACCTATTCGTATATAAAGAGACATGGATCACATCTCTAAACTTAATAAATCCATAGAGCAATTATAAATATTTACTCCAAAAAAAAAAGAAAAGAAGATGAACTCTTGCCAACAAAAGGCAATGGAGAAGCTACTTCTCGGGCACGGGTGCGCTAACCAGCTGCTCATCATGGACCACACCGAGTCAGACTCGTCCATGGAAAGGGAAGATTTGGCCAAGTCCGTCCTCCATTGTTTCTCAGATGCTCTCTCCATCTTGATCGATACTAATGACCACCAAGACGAGCAATCCAATAACTCATCCCCTCAGGACTCTTCTCCTGTTCTTGAGAGCGCCAGGAAACAACTTCACAAGAGGGGAAGGTATGAATATAAAAATTGAAAATATTTGAGAATCCTTGAACGATGCTCATCATGAATCTCATGTTGTTGCAGAAAGACATCAATGGCAGAGAGCTCAGACTACCATAGACACGAATCCTCAACCCCTATCTACCACGACGGCTTCCTCTGGAGGAAATACGGACAAAAGCAGATCAAAGAATCTGAGTACCAAAGGAGTTACTACAAGTGTGCCTACACAAAGGACCAGAACTGTGAAGCAAAGAAGCAGGTTCAAAAGATCCAACACAATCCTCCATTGTACTCAACCACTTACTTCGGCCAACACACATGCCAGCTTCATCAAGCTTATGCAACTTTCCCCATTGACACCTCTGACCCCGAAGAGCACGAGGGATCCCACATCATCCGATTCGGTCACCCAGCCACCAGCTTCTTCTCCTCCACCCCTAGCCTCAGTCAACATCAGAATCAGGATCACATCAAAGATGATTACATGAAACCGGTGATAGCAGAAGAGTGGACTCCATCCGAGTGGATGTCGTCCGAGGTTGCCCACGCGGTGGAGGCTTTCGAGTTTAACCCTTTATGGACATCTCATGACTTATCATCATGACCATATATCCCCCAGCTCTATCAACATATATACATATATAGCTTCTTTAATCCTAAAACCTCTATATATATATATATATATCCTTCTGTTACTTGTTTTTGTCTTATACATCTACATGTACTTGCGTAACCCATGATATGTTTCAATCTCTACTTGGAGATTTTGTTTGAGTTCATATTAACCTACAATAATACATGAAGGTTGTACTGTTG